CTACACCAAAGGTTCCAAACAGGTCATTACAAGTATACCCTGTATTTTAGTGAAACCTTTTAAAATCGATTTGACCGTCCATCAGTTGCCCCTTTTCAAATAACATCAAAAGTGTTTTCTATACAACCAGAGAAAGAGAGGGGACTTAATTTTCAACGTGATATCCCAAACATCACAAAAACCATATCTACATAACATTTTGCATTCCATGAAACATTTGCGCTCCCGCCATAATATGAAATAGCAATCACCAGGTCATTCGCCAAAATATATAAACAAAAACTACTTTTTGTGAACGTTTTCATTAGCTAACAATAAATACTATTGATTCCTACCGGAAAATGTTCAATATCTTGAGTTGATAAACTGTCACGCTAATGTTTTTATGTTTTTCAGACAATGATACACAAAAATTTGGTTATTTCGGCCGAGTGGAATGCTAGAGAATGCAAGAAATTCTAGAAAACGTATTATGAAGCCCGTTATTACAATGTTGAAGAATCTGAGTTACCCTTCGTTCTTTTAGAAATGAAATGCCAAAAGACATTTCTCAAATTTCGATCTAGTTAATTATAATGGATTTCTGAAAATTGTTTGCACTTTGTCATTGCAGTGGGTTCAGAAAATATGTTGAAGAAGGTATTTTACAGGATGCTCTATTCTTTGAGACATCTCAGGCTCTGGATTTTTCAATAAGGACCTGAATGTGGAAAGAAATATATATCAACATTGTCTTTCCCATAATATTGACTCTTCATCTGTAGAGATTTCTTATTTTGAAAATTTACGAAACATCTCTTTCTGGGACTTTTTTTATTATAGCAGCAAATGAAGTACCTAAAATCGATTGGCATTTTTTCAAAGTGAAAGGGGAAACTCAATCCCACCATATTATCCATATTATCAAATGAAAATAAGCTATGCATTTGCCAGCAGCTGCTTGCAGTTTATAGAAAGTTGGCCTTGAAATATTTTGAATTTCAGCTGGAAGACATTGGTATAGTTTGGGACTCAAATATGTCAGACTTTTTTGTCCTTTTGAGTTTCTCATAAAAGGAGTCAAGTATGTGAGTTGTCTGTTCCTTGTATTGTATTGATGTTCCGGGTTCTTCAATTCGTGCTCATAATTATGCTGTTTGATGTTGCTAGTTAAAAAGAATAGTTGCCTTGGATTCATAATATTAGTTTCATTGAATAGTCTATTTGATGGATATTTTATATCTTTATTGAATATAATTTTAAGTAGGCGCTTTTGAACAATGATTAATAATTTTTCGAGGTGAGACTTACTTAAACCTCCCCATGCTAATATTCCATACACAATATGTGGTTCCACTAACGCCTGATATATCGTTCTCATTGCTTCGAAATCTAGAATATATTTAACATTTCTGAGTTTATAAATTAAAAACTGTATTTTCTTAGTGATGTATTCGATTTGTTCATTCCATTTCAGGTTATTGTCTATCATAACAATAAGGTATTTGATCTTATTACAGCTGCATATTGAGATGTCTTCAGTGATTTGCAGGCTATCATAAGAAGGAGTACTTCTCTTATCAATATGTATGGGTAGAAAAAATGTTTTTTTAAAGTTAATTGTTAAAAGTATATAGCTGAAAAAGGCTTGAATATTACGGATATCGCTTTCTGCTTGAATTTTAAGTGATAGCCAGTTTTCATGACTGTAGAAATTTGCAGTATCATCCGCATAAGTAATAATTTGACCACTTGTGTTATTTCTGAATAGATATCATTCAAATATTTATTGAACAGAAGTGGTCCCAAAACAGTTCCTTGGGGTACACCATATTCTATTCTTTGAAAATTGCTCCTCACCATCTTCAGTTCAACACATTGAAATCTATTGGAAAGATAACTTTCGAATAATGTTAAGGCCACTCCCCTTATGCCGATGTTTTCCAAGCATTCCAGAAGCAAGTCATGACTGACCGTATCGAATGCCTTTGAAAGGTCTATAAATACACATAGAGAGGGTTTTCCTATATCTAAGGCATTATACATCTTTGTTGTAAGGGCGAGGATTGCATCTTGGGTTGATACTCCTTCTTTGAATCCGTATTGGTTGGCGGACATGATTTTTTTTTAATTAAGATATTTGGTACGTCTTATTTTTATGATTTTTTCCAGTATTTTAGCAATAGCGGTTATTAATGAGATTGGTCTGTAGTTTATGACATCCTCCCTATTACCTGTTTTGAAAATTGGTTTGATCATTGACTTTTTGAAGATGCTTGGGAAATGTCCTTGCTGAAGGCACTTATTGAATATGTGAGACAGTGGTTTTTTGATCATCGGTGATATTAATTTTATTGTTTCTGCTTTCATTACATCAATACCAGGTGCTTTCTTGTCTTTGATTGATAAAATAATATCATTTATTTCATCAGCATTGGTAGCGTTCAAGAACATTGAGGACAATGGATTATTTTTCTCAGGAGGTTGAAAATTAGGATCCCTGTCAATTGTATTTGCAAGTTTTCCACAAATTTGTATGTAAACTTCGTTGAAAATATTAGCAATAGATTTGGTATCTGTAATTTTTTCTCCGTTATGTTCGATTAAATTAATATCTTGAGATTTTGAATTATTTTTAGGATAGAGTTCATTGATAGTGGTCCATACATTTTTACTATTTTTAGCATTCTGTTCGATTTTATTGCGATAATAGTTGGATTTTGTTATTCTCAAAAGCTGTCTCAATTGATTTTTGTACCGAGTATAGTTTTGTTTCAATTCCACATTTTCAGGTTCATTAAGAAGTTGCTGATACATTTTATCTCATCTATTGATAGATTTTATGAGTCCATTGGTAATCCATGTTTTACGTTTCTGGATTTTATATCTGTGCGAAGTTGTGCAGTTTCCTATCTCAGTATTTAGAATATTCATGAAAATATTTGTTGCAGTTTCTGCATCTTCCGTTTCACAAACGGCATTCCAGCGGACATTTTGTAGTTTCTCTGTTAGTTGATTATAATTGATTTTGTTATGACTAGAGAATTTGTTTGTGGGATTGCTATTTATATTATTTCCATATATAATTTGTAGGAATGTCGTGTAATAATCGGTCGCATTTGTTTTGATTATAAATGGTAGAAAAAGTTCGGAGTCTGCATATGTTTTTACAAATATATGGTCTAGGCATGATTTACTTTGAGTTATTACTCGAGTATATTTATCAATGGTCGACACAAAACCATACTCCTGCATGATAGTTATGTATTCCGTTTTCACTATGATGTCGTCTTTGATGTTAATATTGATGTCGCCAAGAAATATGGTATAATCCGAATTTATGATAATGTTTTCCAACATATTTCTTATGTTCTCTAAGAACATGTCTATACAGGAGTTTGGTGGTCTATATCCTGCTATCACGTGAATCGTTTTGGTCACATGCTTTAATTTTACCGAGAGAAATTTTAAGTTATTAGAAAATTCCACAGCCTAATATGAGTAATGCAAGTCAGACTTGATGTATATTACTGTACCATCATTTTGGTTATAGCAGCTATTATTATAAATTAGGTCATACTCTGCTAGGTTATACACATTCAGATCAACCAACTCCCTCGTTTCTGTTAATACAATGCATTCGGGTAGTTGTGTAAGTTGTTTCAAGTAACACTGTAGCTGATTCAAGTTTTCATTCAAGCCTCTGATATTTTTGTGTAAGATTTTAAAATTTGGATTGTTACTATTAATTCTTAGAACATTATTATATTTATAAAAATCTGCGACGAAATCGCGTATATACTGATCCATAGGGATGTCAATTAGAATTTATATAATTAAAACAATATTCATATGTATCAGAGAAAGAAACGAACACTTGATAAAGAAAAAATTTATGAGCAATTTAAACAATTGAACTTTGGTTGGGAAGATATTTCGGGAAATTATTGTAATCTACTAAAACTGCAGTGAAACAATCTGCTTAAAGTGAAGCTACGATATCTGGATGTTTATCTATTTGATCGTGTTGTTACTTTTACGGGTGGTACAATAACATCTCGTTCTAGTGTTTTCTTCGTTATTTTAGGCATATTTTTCGGTCCTATGATTTCTTTTGCATTTTGTCTTGTTTCTTCTGCGAATAGTTCATCGTTGCATTTTTCGGTGTTGCCGAAGACTTCTTCACTTCTCTGGGCTGTTGGCGTACTTGGAGCACTGTTTGCTTTCACGGTTTCTTGATATTCCTTCGCTTTCAGTTAATCTACTGTGAATGGCTTGTGGTTAATATATAGTTTATTTCCCTTAAGAGATATTGTAATGAATTTGACAATGACAATATTATAAATTACCTTCTATAAGAAACAGCTTCACTAGTTGTTCAGATTATGTGTAAAGTTCAGACGTATTGGTTCGGTTAGAAACAATACTTAGAATTGATTGTTCAATTACCTATCATACAGGGATCCTTATCTTCATAGCGAAAAATAAACCGCAATGTTCAGCGCTTATACTACTTTGTGAAAAACATTATCGAGCAAAATAGTCATCGCAAAACTGCCCAAATCAATAACATAACCTAAAAAACGCTGAGTTACTTCTACGCGAAATTAATTTTCGGGGAAAAATATGCGTGATATTTGAGTACTCGCTGAATTAATTACTGCTAAGGATGCGAATTCAGTACAATGAAGAAATAATCTCACCAATTTTGCGGTTCAGAAGACATCTACTTACGCATGCCATAAAAGTCAATCAAGCCAAGCTGAATATTTTCAAAATCTCCCGAGTTGGTTAGTATTAAAACCTACGCAGAGCCCAGCAGTGGTGAACGGAACTGACCATTTACTGATCATCTTTAGCTATTTTATTGTATACCTTTGTTTGCATATTTTTCATTTATTTTCTCCTTACAAAAAGATTTATCCCAATATTCTGGGTGAAATAATGAGTTTGATGTTGAATAACAATTATCCCATTGGAATATGGGTATTTGTGTCCGAATTTTCAAGATATATACTCACATATAAGATATCCTTCCTGCTGGCATCTAGATACGACCTTGTGAAATAATGTTTCAGAATTTTCATTCCAACGGCGGTTCTCTGTTCTGCAGTTTTGATATTCATGGCAAGGGGTGGTAATGATCCAGGGCTTATATCATATATAATATTCAATGGACGAAGTATATTGATGACTGAAATAATATAATTTTCTCAAAAACAACATGAACATTACTAAAAATCAAATCTGTTTCTTTCAACGAATGAACAGTAATTTTTTGATCGATGTCGTTTTCATCTGGAAAGAGCATATTTGTAAACATGGATATTTGAAAAATTATTTGTTTTTTGAATTTTATCATGACTTACCTTCAGCAAACAACAATGACTCTAAGGAGTTTTCGCCCATGAGAATTGGCACTCTATTGAAATCTCCACTTTCTAATATTTTGTACACATTTTGTGATAAAAAGGCTCCTTTGTGGTGGGGTTCAATTGTGGGGCTGAATGGAAATCCTTCTCTTTCTGCTTGGGGTATGGACTGAAAATATTAGGGAAATCAGGTCGATGATATGATATGTTTCACCAACAATGCCATACAAAAGATTGAAAATGGAAAGTCTGTTCAAATTCGGTATAGAATTTTTGGATACAACACGATAACTATCAATAATAAATTGAGTATTTACTTGTTTATTTGGGGTATGAAAAATAGATCACACGTTTACTGATATTGACAGATGTTATCTCACAAATTGAATGAAAAAAATGACCAGTAGGTTGGCATCATTAGGAGGTAACTATCGTTTTCTAATTCTTCTCTTGAATTATTGTTACTGTCCTTTCCTCTCCTGGCGAATAATGTTAGCATTCTCATTCATTCGGTATTGTTGTCTTCGATCTTTGCTTTGCCTTTCTCATAATAATCAATTTCAGTTTCATACGCTCTATATTGAATATCTCATTTCTTCTCTTGTTTTGCTTCCATTCCGCACTGATTCACTATTGAAATATGCAGTGAATTTCAGAATCATAAACAGTTCAAACAAATGTCTGCTGGAAAACAACTACTTTCCCGGCTAAAACCATGCTGGATAGTGGATTATATCCGACAGACATTTAGGCAAGATATCTCAGAGAGGTTAGTCTCGCAGATGTGTCTCGTTCATCCAGCAGCTGGACTTGCTGGAATCATTCGAATAGATCACCTACAGACCAGTTTCGAGGTAATTCCACTCGTCAGTGCAGTGAAGATCCCTCTCAAACAGCATTACGCCCAAGACTCAATTAATTCCAATGCGGTTCGACTGAGAGAAATATTGTTACCTAGTAATAGCTCCATCTCGTGAACAAAGCCTCAATGGGGGCAACCATTTGGTAGCCTTCATCTCAAAGGCACTACCTACACTAACATGATCATCTAGAAAGAAATCCCAAAATTTATTCAAATTACCTGAGAGCTTTTTGAAATGTAAATGAGTGAAAAGTAAAGAGCTCTAGTGATTCATATTGTTTTATCATTGAAATATAAAAGATACTTAAAGTTGCTGAATTTGGTCTAGTTCTGAACATATTTATTTGGAAGGAAAGATCAAGATGAAGTATCTTTTCCTAGATTGAATTGAGAAAATCCAACTGAAATATAAAGGAATAAAAAATCCACTGGAAACAACCAAAAATCAAATTCACTAAAAACTTTACAAAGACATTCTCGACGGTTCCAGAAGCTGAATTATTGTTACCATACTGTCCTATGTTCTGATAGGCTCCCAAAAATATTCAATTTCACTTCAATCCACTGTCTGTGTAGAACTAGAGGACTTCAATTTTTCACAAAAAAATCAATTTCATTTCTGAAATCGGTAAGAAAATGGAAAATTCAAGAATAAACGTAAATATATTGCCTAATAATTACCACAAGAACAATTAGTTTCGAAGCATGTTTCAGTTGCTCCACATCCACCTTGCGGAGTACCTCAATTAAATCTCTGGTATTTATTGTATCTACACCAACTGCAATACCAACGTCAACAGCAAGTTTTCTGGGATTTCTTTGGAATGCCCACTGACACAGAGGGCTGCCACTGCTTGAAATGGCTGCTCGGAAGAGACCTTTACTTTTGGGAGAAGACACTTGATAAAGGACAGAGGCAGCTCCTGCGCTTTGACCAAAAATTGTCACACGATTCCTATCACCACCAAATTTTTTTATGTTTCGTTGGACCCAGCGCAGCACAAGGTTCTGATCTTTGAGTCCGTAGTTTCCAGGACTGGCCATGTCTTCTGTGCTGAGAAAACCTGAAAAAGTTAATTTACGATGAGAATGAAATATATATTTCGGTTCTTACATACCATCAAAACACACGACTATGCTTTTAGTGTACATGTTTTGATATACCTCAAACAGATGAAAAAAACCCAGTTACAAAAATGCATTCATTCATTTGAAATATTTGATTGAACCGTAAAATATCAGATGAAAAAGATATTTCCAAGTAGTAGACGCTGATGATTTCCAATTTGTGGATGTTGAGGGAGTTACTAGTGTAACAGAGAATCATTTAGTAGGAGTACAAATAGTGAAAAAGATTTGATTTCTTATGGTAGGGGTGATCAAATTTATATCTAAATAATATAATGCGAATCAATTCACTGACTATGTTATTGATACTTAACAATTTGACTCACCAAATAAACCCACTCTATAATTAAATGTTACCACAATGATATCTTGATCTATAAAATTATCACCACCGTAGAACTTTGCTGAAGAATTGCCATGAAGAAATGCTCCTCCATATATCCAAACTAATACTGGCAACAGTTCTTTGATAGTCTGTGGATTCTGAAAAAATGGAAGTTTGAATCTGGAGTTCAAAACTAAAATTTTTATGAGATCTCAACAAGTATTTTTGGAAAACATATTTACTTTTGAAAAATAGTATGTATGCTAAAATAGAACAGTTGTTCATTATTCTTCATGTTACTATATTTCAACCACACATTTCATATAAGTTGCAATCCATTGAAGACGTTAGAGTTGCACCACTTCGAATTGTAATGAAACAGTATTAATACGGTCCTCGAGTTTACTACTGGGGAGTCCCCTAGTATCAAACTCTCCTGAAAGATAAAAGTGATTTTTGTGTGTACATATGCTTAAGTGTTTTGATGGTTGACACTGTGCATTCAGTGGGAGTGATTAACCGTGAAACAATCAATTAATAAACGTTACAATGACCTGTAGAAGAACTCCACATAAAACATTACAAGGCGAATAATAGCCGTTGAATCCAAATAGTTTTCAACATACCGCCAAGAAAGTTCACTAATTCTAATTTCTTTCTACTTCTACTTATGAAGAAAGATCAATTTGATCATCTGAATACCTAAAACTAGCAAGAAGAGGTTGAGTTGATCAATCAACTCATCTCTCTTCACGATCTGTAGATACCAAGTTCTTGTGATGCACTATTTCGAACTTTTGGTGTAGTAATGAATATTACTGGAGTTTTTTCTGACACCAAACCGTTATTTTAAGACCTCGTAATAATCTTCAAGAGAAAGATTGAACTAAATATACTAACAATGTTATCCTTAGTTATACCATATATACCTCTTCTAGGTACCTGCGCCTTGAGTGTCTTGAATTAATTTCACAATATTGCCTTCTCTACTAGTCTTAAATTAGTTTTGCAATGTGTCCTTTTGTAATAGTCAGATAAATCTAATAGTTAAAATATTATTTTAACAAGTTATGTAGTATGCTATTATGTATTGGTCCACCAACGTTATTCATAACATTATGTTTACTTATTTCTACACTTTCAAAGGTATCTAGATGCCTGTTGTTGTTAACTTGTCTAACTAATCTTGATGAACTGATGTCTGTGAAATGGTTTTGTTGTAGAATATTATGGGCGACTGCTGATTTTTTTGGTCTTCCATATTTTAGGTGTGCTAAGTGTTCTTCATATCTTATTTTAATAGATATTTTTGTCTGTCCATAATATTTCGCATCGTAGTCTTTACATTCAATTTCAAAAGTTCCATATTTTTCCGAATTCTCGACTTTGTATTCTCTGTAGTGTATGACTTGTTTTAAGTGCCACCTTCATACCTAGTTCCTTGAAAATCTTTCCAAAGTTCTTCGTTTATTGATGGTATGGAACTGAGAAATATACCATGGTTTTCGTCGTTTTTAAAAGTCGAGATTTCGATAATTCTGAACCTATTATTATATCATCTACAACACCCCTCGAGAAACCGTAACTGGGTGCTATTTCCTGTATTGTATGTTATTCTTTTGGGAACCTCTCATGTGTGAGAGGAAAAGTCAAAAGACGATGTACTAGACAATTCAGCCCAGCACATTTCTGCTGTCCAATATACCTGCACGTAATACTTACCCCACAACTGAAATTGAACTTACAAGTTTCCAACCCATCGGTGTCAAAACTATGTTGCCTCTCAAAAATCTACAGACCAGGAAAACCAATGCTATTGGATCTCCTATCTACCAAATAGCAAAGTGGCTCACTAAGGAGTTTGAAGGCTTGCCTATTGCGGAATCAGATTTTGGTATAAAAAACTCTTTAGAGTTCATACAACATACAGAAAACATCTTCCTGCAAGAAGGTGATATTTTGTTTTCCTTTGATTTTAGTTTCTTATTTCCTAGCATACCAATTCCACGGACTTTACAATACCTCAGGGAATTACTAGAGAAAACTAATTTCAATAATAACGAAATTGATGAATTCGTTTCTCTTACTAATTTGTGTGTGGAACAAAACCTTTTCCAGGTAGAAGGTTGTTTTTATGAACAACAGGAGGGGAAGGCTATGGGTAACCTCTTGTCCCCCTCACCTGGCAAACCTGTTCATGAGCAGATTCGAAATGGAAACCAAAGAAAAGTCGGAGTATTTTCCTTGGATATGGCTAAGGAATATGGATGATGTTCTCGCGATATTCCATAAGAAAAAATCGAATATTGAGGACTATGTTTTTCTTTCAAATAACAGATTTCCATCAAGAAAATTCACGTATGAGTTGTATTTAGAAAGGAAACAAGCACGTACAGGTGTATTCCTGACAGTTCACATCACTGTGCTGTCCAGCACAAACGTGCTGGGCTGAATTCTCTAGTGCATCGTCTTTTGACTTTTCCTCTCACACATAAGAGGTTCACAAAAAAAACGCACAATACAGAAAATAGCAGCCAGTAACGGTTTTTTGAGGGGTATTGTAGATGATATAATGAGGAAGAAAAAGTTTAGGTCAAGAATGATCGAAATCTTGACTTTCAAAAACTTTCAAAATGGTAATTTTGTAAGAGGAACAGAAACATGTAATCAGTGAGGTTTTAGGATAGTTAATGTTAGTTCATATTCTTATTTTCCCATTATTTAAAGAAAAACAAGGATATTTTGTGGCGAAAAATGTTATGTAGTTCAAACTTCTTTCTAAGTACTACTTTCAAAGTCTCATTTTCAATTAAAAAACAAAACAATCAATTTCAAATGATTTAACTGTTGACAATTTTATATCTTCGTGCCTTCTATGAAATTTCCCTCCAATCGAACACATTTTTCTATGCGACTTATTTCCTCCAACTCTCCTTAGTTCTCTAGGTGTGATTTCTCTACACGCTTGTATAATTCTTGCACGGAGATCTTCCTTATTTGTTGGCCTATCCTCATAAACTTTATTTTCCAAGTTTCCCCATGAACAAAAATCCAGTGGAGTTAAATCTGGGGATCGTGGTGGCCATACTACGAGAGGGCTATTGGGTCCAATCCATTTCATAGGTAGATTCCTATTCAACCAAATCCTTGTTATGCCACTATTGTGAACTGGTGAACCATCTAACTGAAAAATCATGCTGTGTCTCACATCCAAAGGTAGACTACACGATAACGTAAGCAGAATTTTTCTGCGACGTTTCGTCTTTTAGAAAACATCATCAACTATGTATTTTTATATGGGTCGAAACTATGATTTAATTGACCATTTCTCGCACAAAATGAAAAGTGATTACTTAACCTGCTTTTCTTCAATTTTAGATAGTACCCGGTGGAAAAATGTCATATTTTGATACATGAAGTAAATTGATTAGTCTTATTTACAATAAATTTTAACTTACCACTTGCCGGAATATTTGCGTTGTTGAATACAAAGATGAGTCGCAATATCAAAAGTTTAGTTTATAAAATGTAATTGTAATGTAACAGGAGTTCTGTGCTGATAACGTCCGCCCACAAAGAAGGCACGCAGATACCATGTGCTATCGTGGGGCTCCTTTTTTGTGTTGTGTTAGTCCATTGTGTTAAATACTGAAATGTGTGAGTAAAAAAAAAGTGATGAATAAAGCGCCCCCTTCATTTATGCCGGTATACAGGCCGGGTGGTTCGGATAACCACGTAAAGGGAGCTGTATTTGTGGAAAAAAACCAAAAGGATCGTGATATGTATTTTATGTACAGTTTCAGGGTGTACAGCTACCTCTAGCGGGTGTCGTCTATTAGATTCAGCGGCCGCTTCACGATAAGACCTCACCCCTTCACCAACAATTAAAACAATTTCAATATTTGCTTGAAGTGTCAGACGTGCCATGTTGAACTTTGTCAATAAAAATGAGCTGATATCAGTTAAAATGGAAACTTCAGAAATATTAAAATATGAACAGGAACTCACGAACAGAAAACAACTGGAACACAGGAACAATATCCAACACAAATACAGGAACAATTAACACAATGGGAACAAAAACACGACAGAAACAACAGAAACCACGGTGATTCAAAGAACAAGAAAATATTCCTTTCCAGACCCACTGTCCATTAGAAACTGAATCGTGAATTTTCTCCTTCAATGAACTTGTACCAAAAAAGCATATATTTTTCGAAAGCCAGAAATACTCATAACTTTACTTTCGCCTAGGACTACAGAAATGTTTCTAATCGTGTGGGTCTCCTGAATCTAACACTCAAGAAGGACAAGGCTGACCGTGAAAACTCAAAAGCATCCACCCCAAAATTTCGAACATCACTTTCTTAAACATATATAATGGAGTTGGTTGAAACATAAAAAATATAGTATTAATTCGGAACAATGAATGTTGTTGCATGATTTGTTATAACAAATCTCTCATACTTGTATGTATAGTATGGGGTAAGTAACAAAAATATGGAACACACGCATTAATATTCAACAGAATTTTTTTCTAACTGAATACCCATTGAAATATTTGATACTTTCTATAAAAATCACTTTTCAATGTATCACATATCTGCACAGCTTGCCTGATTTAATCAGGCACATCTCAGATATTTTCAATTTTTGTTTGAAAAGAGGATGCCGTCATGGTTCGATCCGATCCAATAGAACTTTTATTAGGTACTGTATTATTTGAAGAACATGAATGAACAATAAAGTCTTTGCGTGATAATTGGTGCTGTTATTAGTACATTATAGTTCGTGTGTGAATCAAAATGGTCACTATATAGAATGAAGAATATTTCGACCATTTCACCATTTCACCTGACTCTGTGAAAAAATTGTGAAAAATTGAGAAAATACCAACTAACGCATAGAGAAAAGTAGCGACAAAAAGCATGGAAGTATTGTTCATGGTATATTCAATTGGAGCTTGTTTCATGGAATATGTAGTCGACACGATGCCACAGAACCGAAATATTATTTTGCGTCTGCCTCCTCATCATTTCAAACTTAATCACATTGAACTCGTTTGGGCTCCAGTCGAGGGTTTCATTGCAAAAAGAAACACGATATTTGAAATCAAAGATGCTTTAAGAAGTCCTTGAAAATATTGATTCGGAAAGAT